ACATTTTTTTATAATTTGCATCACATTAAAATCCAATGTCAATTGTTGAGACACTTATTTATAATGGGGAATGAAAATGTTAGGGATGACATGTTTGTCATTAAAGTAAATGGTAAAGAGTTAAATTTTGGGCTAAAAGAGTTTGTTGCTATAACTTGTTTGAAATGTGGACCTGTTTTTGATTTTGTATCAGATCCACATGTTCAAAACACACTCATTGCTGAAAATTTTGGAGATTTTAATAAAGTATCCATGTCTGATTTTTATTACAAGTTTAAATTGCAAAATTTTTGGGAAGAAGATGATAAACTAAAAATCGGTATCCTGTACTTTATTTCTTCATTTCTGACTGCATCAGACCCTTCAAAGACAACAATTCCAAAATTGTATTTTGATTTGGTAGAATCTGGACAGTATGCCACTTTCCCTTGGGCAAGTGAGTGTTTTAATTTAACACTCAAAGTTTGCAATAAAAAATTCAAAAAAAATTCATCGTCATTCAAATTCAGCCAGTTCCACATAGCACTGCAGATATGGTTTTATGAGTGTTGTCATCCATTTGACAACACAATTGCTATACGTGTTTCAAATCGCACACCGAGAATCCTGAACTGGAAGACACCGAATGACGTTATTTTTTTGACGATTTGAAGAAAACAATTTTCAGAACACTTGGGAATCAGGTATTTTTCTTACAATGTTATTACATTCAATATAATTCATTATACATTATACATTTGTTTTTTATGCAGCATATATTCAGAAATATTGTCTTCTCGGAAGAAGAGTTAAATCTAATGGAAGAAACCATTATAAATCAGTCCAGCAGCCACCATGAATCAGAAAATCCAAGATCATCGAAAAATCGTGTTGTTGACAGTGAACATAAAGTTCAAGAATTGAGAGCTGATATTGTAGAGGTACAAGTAAAATATTCAAATAAACATAATTTTTTTTGAAATTACAGTACACATATCAAATACTTATTTTTTTAATTAACAGGTTAAGGCAGAGTTGAAAGAACTCAAAATCAGTGTAAGTTCCAACATATTTTTATATAATTAATATAATGACTTTAAAAACTATTAATGTATAAATTTTTTTATGTTCACCGATAAGGTTCACAAGCACATGGCTGATATAAAGATGTATGTTGATAACTCCACCAAAATGATAATCGATGAGTTTCGATTGTCAAGAGGAGAACAAATACCTGAATAACAACCAGAGGTATATATATCTGTGTATACTTTATGTATGAATTTTTTTTGAAAAATATATAAATTCTGTTATTTTTATTTTCTGTTATTTGAGTATAAAATATTTAATATATAAATTTTGTGTAATTAAATATTGTATGAATTGTGTTTGATTCACTGTATGAAATTACAGATTTCTTCATATTACAATATCAATTGCTAAAACATGTATTTTTTATGTATGATTCACTGTATGAATTGTGTATGATTAACTGTATGAAATGTGTATGATCCACTGTATGAATTGTGTATGATAAGTTGGCCCTTGCGAACAGCTTGATGCACTATCTCCTTTCAACCCTTTGAGCGAAATGCGGCAAAAGAAAAGGAAGGAAAATCCATGGACCGGTAGTATACTATCACTGTATATATAAAATATGTATGAAATGTGTATGCATTATGTATAAAAAATTTTGTATCAAGTTTTCTAATTCTGGTGAATAGTAATATCCATAATTAGTTATACTTTATGTTTTGATTTGTATATTTGGTATTGAATATATTGTGTATGAAAGATTGTTGTAAGTTTGTTTGAAATGTGTATGATTATATTGTATTATGTTTTGTATAATATCTGTATGTATTATGTATTTTTCAATAATATGTTGTAAGTTTATTAGAATTGTGTATGATTCACTGCATTAGTTTTGTATTACATGTGTATGAATACATGTTTCAGGAAAACGTCAACCATCATGCTGCACAATCTGATCCAACAGATATGCCTACAGAGACAATTCCACAACAAGTCCAAAGTTCAAACACAGCTGGTACGATATATTCATTTTTATCACATAAATTCAAATTTTAGAATTTTTTTTTATTTAACATTTTTTCATGTATATGCAGCTCAAAAATCAACGGATGATTGTTTAAATGTTGATGCATCTACAACGTCAAAATCAAAACCACTAACATTGGACGATTATCCTGATTTTACCATGACACAAATAATTGCCCTTGATCCGATTCTTAATGCCACCACGACTCCTAATCTAAGAACAAGAACCAAGAATGTGGGTAAATACGATTCTTCTCCTTATATCAGAATGTCGGAAGGAGAAAGCAGTTCAAATAGAGTACCTACATTCTTTCAAATCAAACATCCATTCCAAAATCACAATGGGTTTGATGTACCAGATGAAATGATTGAGGAGTTCAATAAATGGATTTTCAAAGATGTGTCGAGCAGACGTGGCAGGTAATTTGTACGATGATAAAAATTATTTTATTTAATTTCTAAACTACTAAATTAATATAACACTTTTTTAAACATATACAGAAAAGCAGCATATTCCAAGATTAAAAACACATTTCATCCTCAAATGGACTTTGGCGTTGTCAAAATCGGAGAGAAAGATTTTTTTCACATAATGAGTCAACTGGGCAGACCTTGGGAGGACGGGGTAAGACCTTTTTTCAACTAAATATTATGTTATTGAGTTGCAGTGATATATGTATGTTTTCTGTATGTATATTTTCTGTATGAAATATGTGTGAACAGTGAATGAATTAGATATGTATTTTTTTTTGTTAAAACAACATATTAATACAATAATGTATTATATCTGAAAGAAGGCAAAATACTCACAAACTTCTTACAGTACTGCTGCAGTGATATATGTATGTTTTCTGTATGTATATTTTTTGTATGAAATATGTGATATATGTATGTTTTCTGTATGTATGTTTTCTGTATGAAATATGTGATATATGTATGTTTTTTGTATGTATATTTTCTGTATGAAATATGTGTGATATCTGTATGTTTTCTGTATGCATATTTTCTGTATGAAATATGTGTGAATAGTGAATGAATCAGATATGTATTTTTTTTTGTTAAAACAACATATTAATATAATAATGTATTATCTCCGAAAGAAGGTAAAATACTCCCAAACAGTCACTTCTTACAGTATTGTTGATTGTTGGTTTATAGCATGAGTTGATAACATTGAGAAACAGTGGAGACAATCACAATGTGACATGAGATGCATATCACCGGACCATGATGTTGGACAATGCATTAGAGGATATAAGTTGCTTGCTAACATTCCGTGGGATAGGGTTGATGAAGTAATCATCCCAGTCAACATCAATGACAAATTGCATTGGTTTCTTGTTGTATTCCGAATCAAAAGTAGATGTCTATATATATGATTCGATGATGGGAGGATCTGTTCATTCAAGGAAAGTCAAAGAAGCCGTTGATAAGCTTGCAACCATGATTCCTTTATTTCTGACGAGCACAGTGTTTTATGGCAAAAGACTTGATTTGTATGCGAATAATCTCCCTGATTATCAACAGAAGTCTCACTCTGAACCTCTAAGCATCAAGAATGTTACACATGCTCCTCAACAAGAAGAAAGTTCAAAGTATGTATATTTCTTACATTATTTTTTATTCATTTTAAATTGAAATTGTTATATATTCATTACTATTTTTTTTTTCAATTTGATTACAGTGATTGTGGTTTATACACATCTCTATTTGTCGAATACATGAGCAATGGTGTTTTTGATATGTCACATATTGATATTGATTCAACATATCATCGTCAAAGATATGCTACATTACTTTGGCATTATGGAAAATCAAAGAATGATGAAGGCGCAATCAGTGAAAGTGAAGTTACAGGAACAATTGCTAGCAAGAAGGGTGGACCTCGAACTCATAAAGAACAAGTTATGGACACCACCAATTATCCTACTCCAAAATTTCGTATTAGGAAGTAGAAATCTTCATGGCACATAGTACATTTATTTGAAAGACTTTTTTTTAACTTATGAACAATTTATGTATTTTCTCAGTTTTTTTATTATGAATACTCTGATGGTTTTATATAAATTATTACTGATTATTACTAAATGTGTCTCAATTTAACATATATGAACACTGTATGAATCATGTATGAAAATCATATGAATTATGAATGTCATATGAAAATTTGATATATAGTACATAGTAATGTTGAAATTTGTTTTGCTTGAATACTATACACTTTCAAAATACAAACAGAAACATATATTAATTATATTACTGGTATGAATACTGTATGAAAAATGTATGAATTATATCATACAATTATACATTAATAAATGTGTATCACCATCTTGCATACATTATTCATACCAGTAATATACATACAATTTGTTTCTGTTTGTATTTTTATTATGACTACTGATGGTTTTATATAAATTATTACTGATTATTACTAAATGTGTATCAATTTAACATATATGAAACTGTATGAATCATGTATGAAAATCATATGAATTATGAATGTCATATTAAAATTTGATATATAGTACATATTAATGTTAAATTATTTCATAAATTTGTTTTGCATGAATACTATACACTTTCAAATACAAACAGAAACAGATATTAATTATATTACAGGTATGAATACTGTATTAAAAAATATATGAATTATGACAAATTATAAAATATATTTTTCAAAATACAAACAGAAACAAATTGTATGTATAATACTGGTATGAATAATGTATGAAAACTGTATGAATACTGTATGACATTTGTATGAATAGTAATATTATTCAATAAAAAAACATTTTATAACAATGTAATGCCTCAAAAACACAGATTTAACATTACGACATCATTGTTTTTGTACAGGATAATTTGAACAAGTCTTCCTATTGTGTCCAACCTGATGGCATTTACTGCATGTGCTTTTTGTCTTCTTGAATTTCACATCTGCGAATTCTTTCCACCGTTCAAGTTTGGGTCTTCCTGCTGCTCTTTTTGGACCAGGCGGGATCTGAAATATAACTTGGTATATCCCATGTACTCTCGCACGGGATAGGCTCGACAGGAATGGCATAAGCATCTTTGAAATTCTTGAGGCTATAAAAAGCAGAACAGAAATCTGCTTCATGTAACTTCCTGTACCGGAGAACAGCAATTGCATGACCACGTGGTATCTCATAATGTTGAAATCTTCCGCAACTACACATCCTTGTGTTCAAATTTACTATGTATTTCTTTGCTCCTTCAGCTACAGCATGCAGATCAACAGTTGAAGGTATCACCTGTGTAAAAAAAAATTATTTTGTACATGCTGAAGATTAGTATGAATTAAAAACACAATACAATGAAAAACATACCCTCATATTGCACGATAACGTAATACTTTTCTGTAGATAAACATCATATTTTTTTGTCAGATTAGATGTAGTCTTATCAACCTCCTCATTATGCTTGTGAATCCACCTCTGAATTGTCACCCTCATAAACTCAAGAAGTGAAATCACCGGTAACCTCCGTGCTAATCTGTTAACATTATTCAATGACTCCGCGATGTTTGAAGTCATGGTCCATGTGCTCTTACAATTCGAGTAAGCTCTTGACCATTTGCTATAACCAATATCAAACAAGTATGGTCGTATTCGTGTATCTATCTGATCTATTCTTTCCATAATTGTCTCAAACTGTTGTTTTGTATAAGCTTTTGCCAATGAAAAGAACAACATCCTCAAATCTTCAGTATTTCTATTGAAATTCTTCAAAACATTGACTGATAAATGACATATGCATGCATAATATTCTGATTCAGGATATACATTTGTTGTCCCTTTCCATATGCTTTCATTTTTGTCTGACATAAAACACATATTTTGTCTAACTCCATATGCTTCTCTAAATTGCTCAAAGAACCATGTCCATGAAGCATCATTTTCAGAATCTACTATCGCATATGCCAACGGAAGTATATGACCTGCTCATTAATTTTTTTTAAAAATATCACACAAATCAAAAATATAATTCATATATTTTTTCATTATATTATATAATTAGAAAATTATATAGGCTAATATTTTACCTCCCGGATCCAATGTGCTTGCAGTTAACATTGTACCACCATATGAACATGTTAATGCAGCACCATCAACAACTACAATTGGCCTACAATATTCCCAGCCCCTAATACATGCTTCTAAAGCAACAAATGCATATAAGAATGTATCATCTTCATTCCTTTTTATTTTCAAAACAGATCCTGGATATGTTTGCTCCAAAATGTAAAAATAACCTGAAAATAACATAACAGCCCAATTCATACATAAAAAATACATAGTTTATATATAAAAAATACACATAACTGTTACTGTATAAATTTATCATTATTTTCCAAATTACCTGAAAATAACAGTCCAATTCATACATAAAGAATACATATTTTATACATAAATAATATACGAAACTGTTAATACACAATAAAATAAACAAATGTTTAAATTTATCATTATATTCGAAATTACCAGGTAATCTTGCATAAGATTCTGTTGGATCTCCTCGCACCAACTTTACTGCTTTTTCTTTAGCTCTCCATGTCTGTATGTATGTCAACGAAACACCATGCAATTTCAACATATCATCAGCTACATCTTTTGGAGTATATACCTTAGATGGATCAATATAATTATCCATTATCAAGACAGCTACAACGTCAGTTATCCCTTGACGTCTGGCATAAACTCTTTCTCTAACACAACATGTATGCTGAGCAATATACTTCCGAACATTCAATAAACTAGATTTATTCAAACTAGATGCCCTCATCATCCAAGAACAACTCTTAGAAATATAATTCAGATGATAACTGTTACAAATTTAATAAAATATACATTACAATATATATACATTGTAACAAAACAAAAAAAATATAAAATAAATTTAAACTTACTTAGATTCATTACAACGTGCAACCCGAAAGCTGAACTTCTCAACAAGTCCAACATGCCTCATAACCTCCTTAAGGGTTTCTTTATTATTATAAATCTGATTTTCAGCTACAAATAAATTAGAATGATCACATATTATATCATTATCTACTTCACTATTATCATTGACAACTCCGTCTAAATCCATTCCGATCAAACGGATAGAATTGTTGGAGTATAGATCTATGTTATTCTGTGATAATCTAACATCAGAATTTATTATATCATTAACTATAACTCTATGACATTCGTTATACTTCCCACAATCTTTCAAAGTAATGCATAATGGATATTTTGTAAAAAAAATTCAAATTCACCCTCATCTGATCTAGATAAACCTTTACCCCAACATCATTATGAATTTTTATAGGTGGACACATTTCGCTAACTATATACTTTATCTCAACAGAATTTAGATTTTCTTCTATGTTTAGCTGAGTTACTATAGAATTAACTAAACCAGTATAAAGAGTAGAAGTATCGTATAGGATGCCCTCCATTTCAAAGTCGACGTATTTCCCTGTTTCACAACATTAAAATTACATTCAGTGCATCCCATTATAAAATTAAAAATTTATTCATACATAATTAACACACATTTCATACACAATTTATATACAAGTCACTGTTTACCACACAATTCATACACTTTGTACAACAATAATACACACTTCATACAAAATTAATACACAAATCATACACTTTTTACCACACATTTCATATAGTTTGTACAAAAAATAATACACACTTTTTACATATTTTAATACACAATTACCACACTGTTTATATACTATTATAATTAATACACAATTAATACATTGTTTACTACAAAAATCAATACACAAATCACACAAAATTATATACAAGTCACTTATATATATACAATAATAGAATTTTAAATTAATACAAAATTAAAACAATTTTTATACATACTGCATACTACACAACTAAATACTACATACAATCTAAAATACAATTTCATACTCAATTTATTCAATTTAATATAAAAAATAATATACAGTTAATTCAATTTTTATACAGAATTCATATATATATATATATATATATATATATATATATATATATATATATATATTACAAATCAATAATAGCTATGTACAACTATAAACATTGATTTTCATATATATTGTTCATACACTATTTATATACATTAAAATACATAATGTATACATTATTAATACAAAATATCAGATATTTGTTCTAATGTTTCAAAAATAAAAAATTTGCTAAATTTATCAAAAACTTTAAAATTTTAAATTTTAACCAGTAATCACATTTACCATCATTCTTCGTTTTAATTACACATAAAAATACATTTAATATTACGAAATTTTTATTAGTAGAAACACTGAATTAATGTTTCACAAAAAAAATTATATCAATTTAACATATGAAATATAACAAGGGAAAAAAAACATTACTAAAATATTAAAAAAAAACTAACCTGATGAATTTCATTTGCCACCATGTTTAATTAAAATTGACACAATTTTCTCCATCAAATCAAATATAAACCTTTTCAACCTTCAATTTTAATTGTTTTTTCAAAAAAAAAACGATACAATATGACAAAATTCGAATATATGAATATAGTCCAATTTCTGGAAAAAAAATGAAACACGTTTATGGAAAGATAGATAACAGAATAGAATTTTTTTAGGATAAAAAATCAATAAAAATTACCATTAAAAACGGATTGAGATAATTAAGGAGCATATCTATAATTAATATATTTTAAATTCCCTTAAAAGGTGCACATTTGGTTATCAGTTAAAAACAGTAACTACATTCACGGATTATCCAATTTTAATTACTCATTTTTTAATTTTTTTTCTTCCTAATTTAACTGAATAAATATTTACAATATTTTTAATTTAAAGAAATGCTATAAGTTGATATATTATATGTTATAGAATGAAAATCAAAATCTTGTGCTATAACTTGAGAATATTACTACATAATATGTTATATACCTAATTTACACAATTTTATTTTAGAAAGGCAAAGAGGGTCATATTTGCTCATGTACTCTTAGGAAAAAGTTATATTTATTGCTCATCATGATTTCTTGATATTTTACCCTTGTCATCCTACTTTTGGGTTAAATCTGCAATTACTGCATATCTGTTGGTTGTGAAACTGAAGTATCGATCCCCACGACCATGCAGAATTAATCCAATTTGCAGATATAAAAGGTGTTGCGATTCAACATGAGAATGTAGACTGACAAAACAATACTCAATTACTCTTTGATACCATTACCGTCTCTCTCTCTCTCTCTCTCTCTCTCTCTATATATATATATATATATATATATATATATTACCGCTTCATAGCATTATAGTTTATATATACTCTGATAGTATCAAAGAGGTAATAATTCAGTGAAAATTAGCTAAATTGATAGTGCATATCATCAAAGTATATGCATATATATTTTGATTGTATCAAAGAAGAAAAAATAGTATTTCAATGAAAACATTATTCAGTTACTCTTTGATATCATTAATACTCCGATTATATCAAAGGTAATTTGTATTTTAATGCGTCCAAAAAAGTAGATCGCAAATAATTTGGGTCATGGGTCCATACGTGTAAATAGTTTGGTTGAACCACTCAGAATAAATAATTGAGAAATTTGTATATAATAGTAAATTAATAATTAAAATTAAATGTTATAAATATAATTTGATTTAATTGTATCCTATAACAAACTATAACATTCTTTCATTCACTTTTAATTGTTATAATTTATATTTTTAAAGTCAACTATACGAATATTAACTAATAATTTAAGGTGCATTTTTTAATCATAGATATGCAAAAAATTGCATTTTATATTACTTCCACTTTTAATTGTTATGATTTATACTTTTATAATCAAATTATAAAAATTTTGACTTATAATTTAAGGTGCATTTTTTAATTATATTAATATATAAAAAATTATAATTTATATTACTTTTCATATAGTTTTAGTCAAACAAACTTTCAAAAAATGTAACATTAAAAATAAAAATAGACGAAGAAAATATATAATATCTATTTTACTCTTAATAAAATAATTTATAATATTTATTTTAGAAGTCTTCCTTTCTTATTAAACTGTGTACCTCAAACTTGTCTTGTAAAAATGAGGTGAAAGGGAAAATGAATTTAAAGTGGGTGTTGAGTTAGGTGGTCTCTGTATCTGCATTCTATCGATACTTTAGTAATATTTATTTTGTTGTCAGTAGTTGCAGATAGAGAAATTTCAAAGAAGAATTTGAAGGGGTTTGCCGGAAAACTCGAGAATGAGTGGTTCCCGGTTCATAAAGTGTGTGACCGTCGGCGACGGAGCATTTGGTAAAACTTGTTTACTCATTTGATATATCAGCAATACTTTCCCAACTGTAAGTTCTTCCTTTCTCAGACCAACGAACAATTGGGGTTTATGAGAAAAGTTCGACTTTGTACTTCACGAATGTGTAAGTTACCATAAATGAAATTCTTATTTTGGGTAGTGTAGTTGTAGTTCTGTACACCTTTATTTGTTTGATTACTGGGAATTTATTGATTTTTAGGGAGCGAGAGAATCATTGTAGCATAAGCCATTTCATAGACTAATGTTCCTGTCTTTCTTAGTCCCGTTGATGATTGAAACAAGATACTCCTTCTGTTGTATTTTTCCGTTGTCTTTTCCGATAGTGTTTGAAGTAGTATATGATTGTGAAGTTTTCTTACGATTATCTCATTGATGTTCTTTATTGACAGAAGGGCAGTGGCTTTGCCTATTTGTAATTGAATGGAAGTTTGAGTCATAGCTGTATTTGGTTCTTTATACGAGAGCCCAAGAACCTGCTCTATGTTATTTTTCATGTGTCCGTAGAATTCCTCACCGGAAAACACCTGCTTTTGTTATTGTTTTGCGTGTGTAGGTGGAGGAGGGAGATGAGGTGAAAGCTATTCTACATGTTGTTTTTTAGCATTTGGTGTTAATTAGTTGAAATGTGTTTAGCTGATGAAAAGATGATGCTTTGTTGATGATCCTGCCTCTGAACTAAAAAGTGTAGTTTCTAAGATAGAAGCATGAGTGTTCTCTTCAAAGTCATAAATGAGTGGAAAACATTGAGCTTTAAATATATGCACTTTCGTTTAGTAAGTTCATTTGTAACAGTGGTGGTTGTGAATCCCTCAAATGGAACTTTCTGGTTCATCACACTCTAAATTTGCTTGCTTTGTTGTAAACAGGATTATGTCCCAACTATGTTTGACAAATTTAGTGCAAATGTAGTTGTGGAATCTTGGTTTGTGGGATACTGCAGGTAAAATTGATATTAGTTACCATGTTTCTTTACATCATTATGGCACTCATGCTGATCTATTCCTCCTGTTTGATTGGATAGGTCAGGAGGATTACAACAAATTAAGACCCTTGAGCTATCGTGGGGCTGATGTTTTTATACTAGCATTTTCCCTCATCAGCAAGGACAGCCATGAAAATGTCTCCAAAAAGGTGTAATCTCCTTTCTAGAATTAGATCTCTAACTTATAGTTTAATTTTGCCTGCTCACATAAGTGGCCGTGAGGTTAAAGAAACATGTGTGATGGCCATCTCCCCATTATCTTGATCTAAGTTGATCGGACTCGGGTGCGGGTATCCGAGACGGATGCGAACCCGAGAGTCGGATTCGGCGAAATCCAAATTTTAAGATTCGTGGGTGCGAATCCGAGTATGGATACGGGTGCGGGGATACGGCTAAAAATTTCAATATTATAAAAATATAGTTATGAAGATATTCTAAATTTGAGAGATATATTGTGATATACTTACATGTATTTTGTAGAATTCTATCTTTCGTTCTTCAAGATGAGATTACTCTTCTATTCTTCCTACAAAGACACAACAAAATAGAAACTAAACATTAAAAGCATTTACAAATCACAACAGAATAAATATAACTAAAAGAATCAATAAAAATTGGAAAGAAGAACTAACTATGTGTTTTATAAATATAACTAAAAGAATCAATCCATGTACCTTTTATTGGTTGCAACTCTCTATCAATATGTGTTTTTTCTTAAGCTAAAAGAGTTGACCTCAATCTATTATATGATGGGGGAATATAACCGGGAATGAAATTTTCGGCTAGAAACTTAGAATATTTTTAAAATAAGGAGAGTTGGCAAAGTTGAATGATAAACCTGATGCGTAGAACATCCTAGCGGCTAATTTGTCGGCCGTATTCCTCTCATAGATGCCGAATGATTTTCCGATAGCTCCACTGCTCGAACTCTTTCGTTTTTTTGTTGAATTAGATCAGTCCCCTCCGGAAGTGATATATAATCATCTTTTTTTCTTGCATCATATTGAACATTGGTTCGTTTTCTTTCCGCTTGTTCATGCTCCATCTTCAAAATTGCATATATATCACCATTATTTTCTTTACATATTTGAACACCATGACCCGATAATCTCAAAAGATGTGCTTTCACCCTATTATATGATCCCGTAACTATTTTATTAGAATAGTTACAAGACCATGTCCTATTCCCACCCCCATTTGGAGCCATCGAAATAACTTTAACATGATTCAATAGAAGTTTATCATCAAAATCTATTCTACACTTTTTGTAGGTCTCATAAATTTTTTTTTATTTTGACTACTTGATGTCATCTTGCTAAAGAAAGGATGATGCATTTTTTTTTTTGCTTACAATAAACTTGATGAAAAACAAAGAAGAAACAATGGTGTTTTTGGTTTTGGGAGGGAAAAGTAGGTGAGGATGACTTTTTTTTTACTAGATAATGACTGATGTGATATTTTTTTTACTCCTACTCTACTTACTCGGAAGACTTTTGAGGTTTCTTTTTTCATCATTCAAGAGGAGTGTATGTATATTGTATACATATAATTTTACTATTAATATTTGAATTGTATTTATAGTTCTAATAGAAAAATTTATGTTATTTAATTTTTATTTTTGTTGAGAACGTTTGGGTATTAAGTAATTTTAATATTTCTTATACTTATATTTTTAGTATTTCGATAGTTCGAAGCTTGTAGTGATAGAAAGAATAAAAAGATCTAATAAGACGAGATCGTTAAAGTGCTTGAATTGATAGGAAGAATTCAGTGATCTAGCAAGACATGATCCTTGATATATATATATATATATATATATATATATATATATATATAGTATTTTAGTAGTTCGAAGCTTATAATGATAGAAAGAAGCAAAAGATCTAATAAGACGTGATCCTTAAAGCACGTTTATTAATAGAAAGAATTCAGTGATCGCGCACCAAAGTCGTGTCGAGACGGGTTCGCCTGCAAAAATGAAGAGTCCGCCCAACTTAGGTACACACCCTTTAATTCCAATTCAGAGACCAGTTATGTAAATAGCTAGGAAAATTATGAACTTTCTTCAAATTTTAGTTGTGACGGTAGGGTACTAAGGTCTCCTCAATCTCTCAAGCAGTTTGATTTCACATCCATAAAGTTATTGAACACGATGTTCTTCCAATTAGTATAAATTCATGGCTGATACAATAAGTGGTTCTTAGAGATAATTCTGGTTTTAACAAGGTTGACACCATAAGTAGTTCTCAGGTGTAATTCTGGTCAAACAGAAAGCATTGAGAAACCCATCCATTGTTGCTGCTTTATGCAAGAGTTCATATGGAATCAGCACTCACAGAGGTTACATGATATTCTTTCAGGATTTCGAAAGTAGATAGTAGCATTTATGGATTGGCAGTTTCATTCAAAATTAACAACCGGTAAAGCTCAAAAATGTCTACAGAATGATATACTCCTAGTTATTGGATCACTTCTTATTAGATCTTTTGAATTCTTTAATCATTATAAGCTTCGAACTACTAAAATACTATATATATATATATATATATATAGATCATCAAGGATCATCTCTCGCTAGATCACTGAATTCTTCCTATCAATTCAAGCACTTTAAACGATCTCGTCTTATTAGATCTTTTTATTCTTTCTATCACTACAAGCTTTGAACTATCGAAATACTAAAAATATAAGTGTAAGAAATATTAAAATTACTTAATTCTTAGATAAAAACATTATACCGAACGTTCTCAACAAAAATAAAAATTAGATAACATAAATTTTTCTATTAGAACTATAAAAACAATTCAAATATTAATAGTAAAATTATATGTATACATCCTTATCCCGACACCTTGTTGTGAGACAATACAGTTGATTGATTGCAATAGAATTGGGTTGCTGAGATAGTAGATAAGAATTTGGTGTTTTGACAATGTATTTGTAAATTAAAGATAATTTTTTATTTTATTTGTGATGTTATGTTGCTTCAACCAATTTCATTTTAACTTTAAATATCCACTACATGGTCAAATGCTGCTGCATAAGGGTGGTTTGTAGCAAAAAATGAGTCATTTGCAGAATTAAGCGTCGTCTCCCTCCCGTTTAAATGTTACCCTTTTGGTTTCAAACTTAATTTTGTTGTCCTTTTGGAAATCTCACTCAATTTTTTTTGCTCCGGACTCCTTTATTTATATACCCAATCATAGCTGGCTACATCAAAATCTGTTACGTTCTGCAGAAGAATTATTTGTCTTCTTACTCTGCTATGTAGAAATAAATTGTTTTTTTTTGTATCTCAAACTGTAGTTGGTGTCATCTGAATTACATTTACAAGTCAATCATCCTATTCTGCATCAGTTATTTGTCTATTCTCTGAGTTTTGGGCATCACATGTGTTCATATGTATCTTATTTTCTCCTCCTTTTCAAAGTTGAGTTGATTGTTACTACAAGTAGGAAAAGTAATATAGTGGTGAACAGAGATCCAATAACTAGGAGTATATCATTCTGTAGACATTTTTGAGCTTTACCAGTTGTTAATTTTGAATGAGACTGCCAATCCATAAATGTTGCTATCTACTTTCGAAATCATGAAAGAATATCATGTAACCTTTGTGAGTACTGATTCCATATGAACTCTTGCATAAAACAACAATAATGGATGGGTTTCTCATGCTTTCTGTTTGACCAGAATTACACCTGAGAACTACTTATGGTGTCAACCTTGTTAAACCAGAATTATCTCTAAGAACCACTTATCGTATCAGCCATGAATTTATACTAATTGGAAGAACATAGTGTTCAATAACTTTATGGATGTGAAATCAAACTGCTTGAGAGATTGAGGAGACCTTAGTACCCTACCGTCACAACTAAAATTTAAAGAAAATTCATAATTTTCCTAGCTATTTACATAATTGGTCTCTGAATTGGAATTAAAGTGTGTGTACCTAAGTTGCGCGGACTCTTCATTTTTGCAGGTGAACCTGTCTCGACACAACTCTGGTGCACGATCACTGAATTCTTTCTATTAATAAACGTGCTTTGAGGATCACGTCTTATTAGATCTTTTGATTCTTTCTATCATTATAAGTTTCGAACTATCGAAATACTAAAAATATAAGTATAAGAAATATTAAAATTACTTAATTCTTAAAAAAAAGCATTATACCCAAACGTTCTCAACAAAAATAAAAATTAGATAACATAAATTTTTCTATTAGAACTATAAAAACAATTCAAATATTAATAGTAAAATTATATGTATACAATATACATACACTCCTCTTGAATGATGAAAAAAGAAACCTCAAAAGTCTTCCGAGTAAGTAGAGTAGGAGTAAAAAAAATATCACATCAAGGATCATGTCTCGCTAGATCACTGAATTCTTCCTATCAATTCAAGCACTTTAACGATCTCGTCTTATTAGATCTTTTTATTCTTTCTATCACTACAAGTTTCGAACTATTGAAATATTAAAAATATAAGTATAAGAAATATTAAAATTACTTAATTCTTAAATAAAAGCATTATACCCAAACTTTCTCAACAAAAATAAAAATTAGATAATATAAATTTTTCTATTAGAACTATAAAAACAATTCAAATATTAATAGTAAAATTATATGTATACAATATACATACACTCCTCTTGAATGATGAAAAAAGAAACCTCAAAAGTCTTCCGAGTAAGTAGAGTAGGAGTAAAAAAAATATCACATCAAGGATCATGTCTCGCTAGATCACTGAATTCTTCCTATCAATTCAAGCACTTTAACGATCTCGTCTTATTAGATCTTTTTATTCTTTCTATCACTACAAGTTTCGAACTATTGAAATATTAAAAATATAAGTATAAGAAATATTAAAATTACTTAATTCTTAAATAAAAGCATTATACCCAAACTTTCTCAACAAAAATAAAAATTAGATAATATAAATTTTTCTATTAGAACTATAAAAACAATTCAAATATTAATAGTAAAATTATATGTATACAATATACATACACTCCTCTTGAATGATGAAAAAAGAAACCTCAAAAGTCTTCCGAGTAAGTAGAGTAGGAGTAAAAAAAATATCACATCAATCATTATCTAGTCAAAAAAAATCATCCTCACCTACTTTTCCCTCCCAAAACCAAAAACACCATTGTTTCTTCTTTGTTTTTCATTCAAGTTTATTGTAAGCAAAAAAAAAAAAAAACTACATCATCCTTTCTTTAGCAAGATGACATCAAGTAGTCAAAAAATAAAAATTTAATAGACCTACAAAAAGTCTAGGAATAGATTTTGATGATAAACCTCATGGAATCATGTTAAAGTTATTTCGATGGCTCCAAATGGGGGTGGGAATAGGACATGGTCTTGTAACTATTCTAATAAAATAGTTACGGGATCATATAATAGGGTGAAAGCACATCTTTTGAGATTATCGGGTCATGGTGTTCAAATATGTAAAGAAAATAATGGTGATATATATGCAATTTTGAAGATGGAGCATGAACAAGCGGAAAGAAAACGAACCAATGTTCAATATGATGCAAGAAAAAAAGATGATTATATATCACTTCCGGAGGGGACTGATCTAATTCAACAAAAAAACGAAAGAGTTTCGAGTAGTGGAGCTATCGAAAAATCATTCGGCATCTATGAGAGGAATACGGTCGACAAATTAGCCGCTAGGATGTTCTATGCATCAGGTTTATCATTCAACTTTGCCAACTCTCCTTATTTTAAAAAATATTCTATGTTTGTAGCCGAAAATTTCATTCCCGGTTATATTCCCCCATCATATAATAGATTGAGGTCAACTCTTTTAGCTTAAGAAAAAACACATATTGATAGAAAGTTTGCAACCAATAAAAGGTACATGGAAAAAGAAAGGATTGACGATTTGTTCGGATGGATGGTCCGATACTAAAAAACGACCTTTGATCAATATAATGACATCATCTAGTGGAGACTCAATGTTTTTGAATTCAATCAATTCTAGTGGAATCGTAAAAGATGGTGAATATATTGCTAACTTATTTATTGAAGCAATAGAAAATGTAGGTTCAAACAATGTTGTTCAAGTTATTACGCATAATGCAAGTAATATGAAACTTGCCGGTACTATAGTGGAGCAAAAATATCCTCATATATTTTGGTCTCCTTGCGTTGTTCATTGTTTGAATCTAGCTTTGTAAAGTATGTGCCAACCTTCGGACAAATCACCTCACTTTACTAATTGTAAATGGATTTTAGAGTTACTTAGTGAAGTGAGCGATTTAAAAAATTTTGTTGTGAACCATGACATGACACATGCACTTTTTCAAAAACATTCGAATTTGTGTTTGTTGAAGGTTGGTGAAACAAGATTTGCCTCAAACATCATTATGACCACCCGAATTGGCAAAGTAAAATCTTCTTTGGAGAAAATGGTCATGGATGATGAATGGAAGAATTATAAGGGGGATAAGGGAAATGAAGCCAAGACACGTGAAATAAAATCGTATTGACTATTTCTTGAAATTTACGGAACCAATTGTTGATATGCTAAGAAGTGTCGATATTGATGGTCCAAAATTACATCTCATTTATGATATGTGGGACTCAATGATTGAGAAAGTCATCTTTGAGCATGAGGGAAAAGATCTCATTTCCGGTCAATCAAATTTTTTTGATACTATTCATGATATTCTTGTGGCTAGGTGGAACAAAAGTAACACACCTCTACATTGTATGGCACATTCTTTGGTTCCCAAATATTATCATGATCATGGCTTGAAGGAGAGAATGGAATTCGAAAGCTAGCTCCCAATGAAGATAGTGAAATTTCATATTCAAAGGTACTTTAAAAATTCTAATGAAATGAAACAAGCCTCATTGGAGTATGGATTCTTTTGTAGCGGAAATGGCTATTTTAGTGAGCCTTATGTGATTGACGCTATGATGTATGAAGATTCTCTTTCTTGGTGGGCAAATCATGGGGTCTCGGCTCCGCTTTTGCAACAATTAGCTTACAAGTTGCTTACTCAACCGGCTTCTTCCTCTTGTTGTGAAAGAAATTGGAGTACATTTTCTTTGATTCACAATATCAAGAGAAACAAGTTAGCAACTTCAAGAGCCGAAGATTTAGTGTTTGTACATTATAATCTCCGATTGTTGTCTCGCAAGAAAGAGAAATATATAAATGGGCCAAGCAAATATTGGGATGTTGGTATGTCTATATTTTCTTCAATTATTTAGTTTAAATGGTTTTCTTTTCTTTTTATACAAGATCTTCTAATATATTTATTCTTTTAAATTTATTTTAGGTGGAGATCGGTTTGATATTGATGAGACAACTAATGATCTAACCGAGCTTTCAATAGATGACCCTCAAATTGAAGGTCTAATATTTGAGGAAGAGTTTGAAGATTTGGAAGATGTTGAAGAAGATGTGGAAGAGATAGCTAACTTAACTAAATAACTTGATAATTGACAATATTTTGTTGTTATGTTAATTTTAAGTTATGAATTAAGTTGAGACAATCTCTTGTTTTTTGTTCAATAGTATGTTTTACACTTTTACTTGGTGTATTGAATATTGATTAGTAATTATGAATATCTAAATTGTGGATAAATATCTTTGTGTATCTCTTGAATTTTAATAATTGTAGTGTTTTCTTCACTTTTCACTTTGTTTCAACTTTCAAGAGTTATTACTATCCACGTTCTAAGGTTAGTTCTTCTTTCCAATTTTTATTGATCCTTTTAGTTATATTTATTCTGTTGTGATTTGTAAATGCTTTTAATGTTTAGTTTCTATTTTGTTGTGTCTTTGTAGGAAGAATAGAAGAGTAATCTCTTCTTGAAGAACGAAAGATAGAATTACAAAATACATGTAAGTTTATCACAATATATTTCTCAAATTTAGAATATCTTCATAACTATATTTTTATAAGGGAAAAAGGTCTGATATACTCCTCAACTTTGTCATTTAGAGCTGATATATCCCTTGTTATGAAAATGACTCATATATACCCCTAATTGTAAACAAATGGCTCACATATTTCCTTTTCCTCTTAACGGAAATGAAAAAAAATTATTTTAATCTAAATTTTTCTTATTTTTTTCTAAAAAATATAATCCTATGAGTAAATTTAATCCTCGTCAAACATATATTTTTTTGACTTTTTTTTGTTTCAATGACTAATTTATAATTATTATTTTGATAATCAAATTTATTTATGTTTCACTAATATTCTTGTAAAACTTATACTAGATGACCAAATTTTTTCTTCGAATACGAAATTAAATTACAATACACACAAAAAACTAGTTTAAAATAGTTTAATTTTTTTTTCTTTAAACTAAGGAATGTAAGAAAAAAACAAAATAAGAATAAGAAACTCAAATAATTATAATATAAGAAGTAAAAAATTAATTTATGTATGAAAAAAAATTAAATATACATTGAACATTGATAGAAGAATCATATATACCCCTAAATAACTTTTTTTAAAAAAAATTAGAAGTAATAAATATAAATTTAAAGCTAATTTTTTAACTTCTGTTATATGAAGGGTATATGTGAGCAGCCGTTTGTATAGCGGTAAGGGCATATATGAGCTACTTTTATAACGAGGGATATATCAGCTCTAAATGACAAAGTTGAGGGGTATATCAGACCCTTTTCCCTTTTTATAATATTGAAATTTTTAGCCGTATCTCCGCACCCGTATCCATACTCAGATTCACACCCACGAATCTTAAAATTTGGATTTCGCCGAATTCGACTCTCGGATTCGCATCCGTCTCGGATACCCGCACCCGAGTCCGAGCAACTTAGGTGTGTACCATAGCTCTACATAGTTCATAAACTATTCTGAAACACTTGTTCTCCGGACTTTGAAAACCAGTACTTAATGGCTTAAACTTTATCTCATCACTTACATTCAAGAATATCTAGGGTTGATGAGGAAGTACATAAACTATTTCAACAAAGTTCTGCAATATATTCTATGTGGATTTTGAAATAAAACATGTAATGAGCTTAATGGTTTTCTGCTGTCTACTTTGTGCTAAATAATATTATGTCTGGTCTCTTTCTGTCTTAACGTGTTTCTGGCTTACATGTTGATCATGTTTTCCTTCTGTTTAACTCCACTTTGTTTCTTCTTGTGGGCTAGTTCTATTCTATTACTGTCTTCTCTTGTGATTTCTCGTGCTTCTGTTTTGGCGTTAATTATGCTTCCACTAGATCTTCGAGAGGACACGCAATTCTTTTTAGACCATCCTGGTGCCGTACCTATTAGCACGGCTTAGGTATATCAACTTCTAACATATTTCAGCAGTAGCAGCGAATTTTCTTAGACCAGATTTATTAGGTTTGAGGGGGCTAGTCTTCTGTCTGTATATCATTTCCTCCATACTTGTAAAGGGTGAAGAGCTCAAAAAGTCTATTGGTGCTGCAGCTTACATTGAATGTAGTGAAAAATGCAGCAGGTAATATCCAATTGAAATAAAGATTACATGGTCACGCTATAAGTCACCTCGTTTCATACTTGTTTTGCAAAAGAAAACTGCAGAATGTGAAGGCTGTTTCTGATGCGACTATTAGGGTGGTTCTACAACCACCCAGAAAGCCTGCTCTATTTTGTGATTTCTCTAGAAGAGTGGCTATGTAAAGGAGATAAAGACTATTGTCAGGGTACTTCCTACTTCAAGTAGTGCAGCAAATTTGTTTACTGATTGGCAGTCCTGACCAAGTACACTAGAAAAGTGTCAACCTGGCTCGAGATCGAGACTTGGTCTGGGTTCAAAAGTGCTCTTGTTGTCTCTTCCTGAGTTAAATCTATATGATCTGTGTAACATTTGTAAGATGATTATTACTGTTCTGGTATCTGTTGTAAGCCATTCAACATACTAATTTAGATTTTGCAAGAGTTTGGATGTGCTATTGTCATTGTGTTGAATAATTAAGAAGTTGTAATGTATGTTTCATGTATATATTGAATAGTTTCTGGTTTCTTTATTGGGAGAAAGGCTTATGCAAGTGTTCCAAAACTTAATGCCTCAAGATGGGAGTTAAAATTTTTCTTAACTTTTGGCTTATTTTTATCGTTTTAGCTTAATTTTAACTTGCACATACTCGAAAAATATGTAAAAGCTATTGCATTTTGATTTAAGAACTCTTAAAATAATTCAATTCATATTGGCTCTTAGTATGTTGGGCTTAGTAACAATGTTTGACCTAGTTTCGAAGTGCATTTTTAAGTACAATAGAAAGTGTTTGAAAAAAAATAACCTACTTTGAGTTAGTAAACAAACGTAGTTTTTCTGCTATAAAGAGTCTGTTTGAATTAGAGGATTATAACCTCGTTTATTTTATTAAAGTTAAAATATTTGAATGTGAATGTGTAAAACATAGTTCTTAAATATCAACTCTAAATGATTAAAACTATTTCTTTTTTAACATTTGAAAATGAATAATTTATTTATTTGTAAACATGATAAATTAAGAAAATATAAATTTAATAAATAAAATATTTATGTTCACTAATTATGGTGAAGATGATTTGTAGTGGTGATAATGGTAATAGTTGGCGCTAGTGACTAGTTATGGTGGTGATGATTGTTGATGGATGGTATTGTAATGACAGACATGATGATGACGGTTGGTGACGGTGATGGTGAAGTTGGTTGTTACTAGTAGTTGGCGGTGTTAATGGTGATGACTGAAGATTGTATGGTGGTTGGCGATGTATCCTTTGTGATAGTAAAGGTGGTTGATAGTAGAGATTGACAACAATGGTTGATAGTAATTGTGATAATACTGAATAATAATATTAATGATGAAAGTGATAGGTGCGGTAGTAACTTACAAGATTGAAACGTCTTATTTATTTTTTAAAATTTTGTTTAAGTCAAACTAGGTCATATAAAATTTCACACTTAACAAAGATAATAGACATGATAAGGCTCAATAACTATAGTTTCGGTAATTGCGCTCCATACCTATACTTCTCTTTACTATGGAAGTTGCAGTTTGTATATTTTGCTTATCCGTTTTGAATATTTCGCTTACAAATATACAAACATGGTAAGTATATTCAAATAGAGGTCGCGTTTGTATATTTCGCTGGCAAATATACAAACAGGGTAAGCATATACAATGGATGATGAAGTTTGTATAGCTTGCTTGTCTAATTGCGAATTATAACCACAAAGTAAGTATATGTAAATTCTATATTTATAGTAAGATTTTCTTCAAAACTTTGTTTTTATATTTCACTTGCCAATATATAAGCATAGTAATTTATTATGAACTTTTTGTAAATTATATACAAATAGCTAGGGTTGTAGGCATGTAGAAATTTTGAATTTAAATAATTAGAAATCAAATTATACAAATTCTGAATTTATACAATAAAAAATTGAATTATACAAATTTTAAATTTTATTTGTCATTGTCACGTAATTTTTCCTTTAATAAATCCACACGTTAACTATGAGAGGTCTTAATTACCCTCTCACACCTGAGTAATATGGCACATGACGTTAAAAAATTACTCCATCTAATATAATATGACTCACTTTTTTTTTTTTAATTCAATCAAAGAAATAACATATTTTGATATTTAATTTCTTTTTTTTTTTAAAAAAAAAAACAGAATATCAATTTCCTTAATTTTTCTTAGTATCAATTCGGACTCCATAAACATAGTAAGTACCGACTCCTGCCCTGTCCTGTGTGATTTTTGTAATCTCTGATATACTCTTTTTCCGCCATTGAAGTTGACGAACCATCCCCTTTTTTCTCACCCTAAAAAATCAGTCAGTACGATTTCTCCCAAGCACAAGTCCTCCATTGTAAGTATCTTTAAGTTTACTCTGTTTTCACTTTTTCTGATAAATTTAGCTCTTCCCATTTCATTTTTTCCCTTATCTGTAGAAAATTCTGTATTTTCTTCTACTGGTGCATTGCATACACATAGCGGAAACTTAGTGCACAGATAGCTTATACGGTGTGGGATTGTTGTTGATGCGAGGGGGGAGACTCTGTGTTTGTCAACTTTATTCGTAACGAGAATTATTCTAAATTTACGTTGAAGCAACGAAAGATCAGATACGTCATTGAAGTAAGTGAAATTGAGCAGATATATATGCCTGAATGATATTCAATTAAATCCGACGTAATAACAAAGTTGATTGCTATTATTTTGGAAAATTATTGAGCCAAAAGCAGTGGAATTAGCATGCTATTGCTAAGGATGGATCCTCCTTCGTAATGGAGGGAAGCTGTGTAGTTTAAGCTGTCTGAACTTGAACTCGGTAAAAATATTTGTTAGATTTTTGGTTATGAAAAACTCAATTTTGCTAGTAAAGGATATTTATCCTACTCTTTTGTTGTTAATGTTTCCAATTCTAGAAGTCGAAGGTCTATCTGAAACAAACTTTCTACCTCTGAGAGTTAGCTATAAAATCTGCATACATCCTATCCTCCTCAGACCCCACCTGTGGAATGATATGTTGTTGTTATTCTTGCTATTTGTTTATCTGACTTATTCTTCTCTTATAGACTGGATTGCCAAGTACCATCTCAATAGTAGTCTATTAAATGCTTGTTGTTTACCTGCAGGCTCGATTTCTACAATGGACGACATGGAGCTAGAATTCTCTAGCCAACAAGTGTTGTCAAGTTCTACTTTTGGTGAAATTCCAGAATCAAGCCCCATGAACAAGCGTTTCAATGAAATTCTCACTGACGTGCATGCTTGTATTCATGCCCACACTTGCAATCCACCTGGTCCTGATAACTCACACACACACACATGTTACCATGTTCACACCAAGGTTGTTACGCCCCCACGTGATGATACTACTGCAGAGTCGACAGCAGCAAATGTAGGAAAGAAACGCTCATTGAGTAATAAGGAAGCAGTTCGCAAGTACTGTGAGAAGAAAAAGGCTCGGGTTGCATCATTAGAGGAAGAGGTGGTCAGGCTAAGGGATATAAATCAGCAATTGTTGAACAGGCTGCAGGGTCAAGCTGTCTTGGAGGCTGAGGTTTCCAGGCTCAAGTGCTTGCTTGTGGACATCCGAGGAAGGATTGCAGGTGAAATTGGATCATTTCCGTATCACAAGCCAATGGAGGGTGCAGACGTATATCAGAACCTTCGTGGAACTTATGTTATGAACCCTTGCAACCTACAATGTGATGATCAGGTTTATTGCCTCCAACCGAACTCGGAGGAGTCAAATGGACAAGGCCTTAATAGTTGTGGATTTGAGACTCTTCAGTGTTCGAGTAGTCAGGGACTTAAGGAGGTTCCTGGATGTGCATTGGGCTTTGGTACTCCTACAGCCAACGCTTCTCGTGGGAATAAGAAAAAGAGAACAGGTAAAATTCACATTCATTTGAATTTCCTGTTTTTTGGCATATTATTCTGAAAATCGGTCAATATTAACTATCTATACCTGAACTCACTCTCTTAGTTTACAAGAACTCTAACATGAAAATAGGATCTCATCCTGCTCAATCATATCAGAACGTAGATTAGGCTGATTCCTATAGACTGAGTTTCATTGGCCCGTTAAAGGAAATGATAAACCCGTGAAGATCTCTTTGTAGGTTAGTTAAAATTCCTTATAAATTGTCATGCAAAAAAACTTCCTACTCTGTGAAAACTAGAATATACATGGTACATTATAGGTAACAAAGTCAACAACATACCCAGTGTAATCCCACGGTATTGTGTCTAGAGAGGCTAGAGTGCATGTACCTTACCCCTAGCTCATGGAGGTAGAGAGGTTGTTTCCGAGACCCTCGGCTTAAATAACATTATAAGTAACAAAGATCCACTGCTATACTAGCCGATGTCTCAAGGTTCTATATTTTACTTGTTTTGCTCAAGTAACGGTTGATACTAGGCATTGGACCGGTAGCAAAAAGAAAAAAAAAAGTATTAATTTGAGTTTACTTTCCTAACGAGTACTAATGTTTCAACTGTGCTTTCAGATCTTCCTATCCTTTCTTCACGTTGATCTTTGATTTGTATTCTCTCTAGGAGGGAAACGTGCACACAATGGCAAGCCGGTGAACTGCTAGCTTCAGAAGGTGTCGGGTACATTGTATTAGGTTTCTACTCCGTCTTTTGGGATTCTTTCCAGTATCGGTCTCATCATTGCTGAGATCAATTTTGCAATATTTCCCAGCTCTGCTTCAAGCTGGCAGCCTAAGTTGTGTTTTGGATTTTTCAGTTATTTATTATTTATAATATTCAATTTGGCTAGTGGATATGCTTAAATGGATCGACATCAACATAGACATAGTGAAATTATATAGCGAACCTCAACTTGCTTGATTGTGGTATAATTGTGTTGTTACAATGGATTTACCTCAACTTTCTTCTTGCCTGGTATTCTTTTTATTCTTTTGATGAATCTTTCCCTTGTTCTTGAATTATTATTCATTTGATGAAGTTCATGTCTATGTTTTGTGAACTTGCACATAGTCAAGGAAATAAGGTTTAGTTTGTCGATACGTTTAAAGATTGGAACAACTAGAATCTCGTGTTATTAACCAGAGGTGTCAAATTAGCGGGTTAAAATGAATTTGAACAGGTCAAAATACATTGAATTAGTGCCGCCCCTAGTAAGTAACTCGTTTCTTTAATTTTGAGTGGCTACTATAACAATTAAATAATGGGACAAAATCTGTGGTGTTGCTGAAGCACACAATTATTATTGCGACTTTTACACAAGAAATTTTCATTAATAGCAATCTCTTGGAGCTCATTAATCATATACAACGATACTTTATTTATCAAGCATTATCATATTTTCACTTGTGATATAATGTATCTGACACGTCAGGAGGTTGTATCTTCATTCCAAAAATAGATCACCCAATTGAATCCTTTCTATTTCATCGTTTTCCAGGAGAAAATCAAATGTTAAGCTATACGAAAAAGATAAAGACTATCAAATATCAATATATGTTTTTTTTGGATTCGATGCTAAAGTTATTCATTAGCCAAAATATGATAATAGGCCTCAAGTGTTGTTTTGGGTGTCAAAATGGGCCTTTTAGCCCAATACAGAATCTGTCCTGCCCTGTCCCGCCCCGCCTCATTTCAATTTCTGAAAATATGAGTTCAGATCCAAACTTGAAACAGAAGCTTGATCTAATATATTTTATAAAAAATGAATAACATATTTAATTGAATAAATTCAAAGGTCATTACACTTTTGACATGCCATATAACATCACATCAACAATCTTTGTGGTGTTTCTCCGTTTTTAGAGGCGTTTAATTTGAGCTTAAAAATTGGTTAAATTTACTTATTTTTTTTAAGTCAAATGTTGATTTCAGGAAGCTTTTGAAAAATAGAAAAATAATTTAAAATAAGTAAAAAAAATGACTTAAAATAAATTTTAAAATATTTAACAAAGTTTAAAATAACTTAACATAAATTTTAAATTATTTATAACTTAACATACATTTTAAATTACTTAAATAAGTTGAATACCAAAAGTAGGTGTCCACTATTGTGGATTTATAGCTTCAATTGAAATTTCTTATTCTAATGTCACCGATCTTCAGGATTTGCATCAATTGACGGAGATTTTTAATAGCATTTAGTGATAATAGTTTAATGGCAGACAAATATATATTTAATGGCAATCAATATTCTTTGTATATGTCCCTAAAATATTTAGAGTCGTTTGGTATAAGATTAATAATGCTGAGATTAATAATGTTGGGATTAGTAATGCAGGGATTAATAGTGCAGGAATTAGTACAACAAAGATTATTTTTACCAAGTATTTGATTTATTGTTTCCCACCTCACCTTGTGTTTGGATTAAACTTTATAGGAAACTTCTTTTCAACTTTATCCTTAAGTTTTTATGCAATTGAGTAAATGTAAATAATTTACGGACAAAATTATTATTTATGGTTTTCGAACTAGCTATGAAAAGAACAATTTTGTTGTCATGTTTGCCTTTTTTTTACTTAAATAATTTGAGGATATATATTGTCATCTTAGTAAATTGATCACTTACAAAATGTCAAATGTCAATTTAAAAAAGATAAACTATCAACTTTTAAAATTAAAAAGACGTTAAATAATAGTAAAATTGAATAAGCCATCTACATTTACACATAAAAATTGCAAGTTCTAATTTAATATATATTCAATCTTATAAATTATTTAAAATACAAATAATTAGAAAATCGTATATATAAAAAATTGAATAAGCCATCTACATTTACATATAAAAATTGCAAGTTGTAATTTAATATATATTCAATTTTATAAATTATTTAAAATATAAATAATTAGAAAATCGCATATACCGAAAAGGAACTGACTGAAAGGACTGATAAGAGAAGAGGCTCTAACTGTTTTATATATATATATATATATATATAGTTTTATTTAAATAAATTTATTAACACAATCATAAAACATAAATCAAGAAAATAAAAAATAATAATTAAAATGTTTTGAGGAATATTTTTGTCTCTAATAGACTTATCCCATGTATTCCTAATATCTCCAAATTGAAGGTTTGGAAGTATCAGTAATACATCATATAATACCATGTAGGAAGTATAACTAATTCATGGATTAGTTATATGGAAAAGGATCAAAATTACCCCTAAACTTTGTTTTATTGGTTGATTTTACCCCTGCCGTTAAAAACAAGTTATTTTTACTCATGCCGTCAACAATGTTAACAAATATACCCTCTTTGGATGAAAATTCCTAAATCAATTAAAATTATTCGATTTTACTTAAATTATCCAATTTAATCCGACCCAACCCACTTAATAATATAATCCATTTTTTTTATCCAAATCAACTTTATTTTCCCCACAACCACCACCAAAGTCACCACCCTCTCCGAGATCTCCTTTACTACCACCGCTAAAAACCCCACCTCTCCCACCATGGTACAACTTTTTTTGTCCTTTTCAATTTTTTGGTATGCTTGCTTTTTAGCTTCATTTTAACTACCTACTGCATGCTGATCGTAAGACTACTGCAAGAGTAAAAATTTCTGATTTTTAAAGTAGCAAACCACATCCAGTTTTTTTCTGAAAACTTTAGCTGATTACTGGTACAGAACATGTAGTTAAACATATTGAAAGGGCTAAGCTATAATTCTTCCATATACCAGTGATTCTAAAGGCTTGCTTGATATGTGTTTAAGTCTTGGAACTAGGTGAAGCTCAAGTTAATTGCATTGCGTCGCTGAGGATGCAACTTTGGTGCAGTTACCAAGGGATAAAAACGAGGAGGAGATGTACCATCATTGGTGGTGGTTTTGGCGGTGATGGTGAAGGAGATCTCGGAGAGGGTGGTGGCTTTGGTGGTGGTAGGAAAAATAAAGTTGATTTGGATAAAAGAAATGGGCTATATTATTAAGTGGGTCGGGTCGAATTAAATTGAGTAATTTAAGTAAAATTGAATAATTTTAATTGATTTGAGGGTTTCCATCCAAAGAGGGGATATATTCGTTAACTTTATTGACGCCAGGTGTAAAAATAACTTGTTTTTAACGGCAAGGGCAAAATCAACCAATAAAACAAAGTTGAGAGGTAATTTTGATCCTTTTCCCTTAGTTATACATAGACCCAATTTCCTAAATAATACCATACATAATAGGGATAAATGTATAGAATGACAAACTAATAATATAAAATAAATAAACTAGCTATCGTTTGATTTATTTGTGTTTCATAGCAAACTGTTTGTCAGTCCCTTTCTCCCTCATATTCTCGCTCGCCACTCTCCCTCTCTCTCTCGCTTCTCTCGCTTTATACAATAGAATTGTATAAATTGTGTTTCTAATTATATAAAACGATAGAAAATTGTATATACATATGCAAATACATATATTATTGTCCTATAGAGTTATAATTATACAATAAAAGTACTCCCTGCCCAAATCTCTTTTGCCTTTCTCTCTTTCTCGTTTTATACAATTCGATTCACTTGTATATTCCCTGCCCAAGTCTCTTTTACCTTTCTCTCTTTCTCATTTTATACAAATTTAAATTGTATATAATCGTCCTATACACTTATAATTATACAATTCATTTTATACACTTCCTTTTATACAATTCTCTGTCCAAGTCTCTTTCTCTTTCTCGTTTTATACAACTCGCTCAATTGTATATGTATAGCGAATTATACATATATATGTTTGCTATAGGACGCAATTATGCAAACTTTGCTATAGCATACAAATATGAATTTTATGTTTGCTATATGTAAAAGTTGTCCTACATAATACATGAATTAATGACACTTAATTAATATCAGTAATACTTTCACATTCTTAATTAATATTTGCCATTTGTTTTAATGCGGCCTATCAAATGACTCCTTAATTATATTAAATCTAGTGACACTTAATTAATATCAATAAATATTTTGATATACTTTATTAACGTGTATACTTATTATCATTAAAACTTTTTGTTAAGTAGGGTATCCGAAAGGTAGAGTGGAGAAAGATGCACTGGCCATTAAAGATCATGAAACGTAATTCAAGAAGCAAAACAACTTACATTAAAGTTAAATTAAAACTTTAATTTTATAAAATAATATTGAGTATAAAATTGCAACTACGATATTTATTGTGACATTATACATCTCAAATGTTTAGTACGTATCCATCATGACAAAATGCATAAAATAAGATTAATACAATCATATGTGATAAAGGCCGGTGATCAACGTAACCAACATTGAATTAGACCATATAATTAAGGTCAAATTAAAAATTATAGACCAATACAGAGTCTTTTGGGGTCTTTCTCTTTAGTCGACACGTGTTCACATGAGTCAATCATACACCAGACATTTCCAAAGAAATTAAAAACTTCAACCCAAATTAAACGACATAGTTACATACATATATTTAAAAAACTAGGGGGACCAATGATAATATTATTGTTGAACAGATGAGATGAATACTATATCGTACCGCCAGAAAATTCTTTAGCCTTTGCTCCATCAAAAATCATATCATGCAAATATATTTTTAAGAACACGACATATAAGGATCGGTCCACCTAATTAGGAGTCGAGCTAGGTAAAGTCGAAGGGTTCATTTAAATTTATGTTTGTAGATGTATTGAATTTGTTGCGTTTTGAAAGGTGTGAAAGAAAATGAAAAATTGTGATTTTTATGAGGTTTGATGAAAAGTTGTGATTTTTATGAAAAATTGTGACCTTTTCGAAAGATTGAGACTTTTCTAAAAGGTTTGTGACATTTTTGGTAAGGCGCAATAAGAATTTTTTTCACACTGACCTTTGTTTTCTATAAATTGAGGGATTTTTTCTCATTTTAAAAACAGAATTTTTTTTTGGGACTTATTCTTCTAGTACTAAA